GTGTCTTTCTTGACTTGTTGCCTGGAAGATCTGTCCCATACTGAGAGAGGGGTGTTCAAATCACCCACTATTAATGTATTAGGGCCTATTTCTTTCTTTAGGTCTAAGAGTGTTTGCTTTATATACCTGGGTGCTCCAGTATTGGGTGCATATATATTTATGATTGTTGTTATTCTAGCTGGATAGATCCTTTTATCATTATATAGTGGCCTTCTTTGTCTCTTTTTATATTTTTTGGTTTAAAGTCTATTTTGTCTGATATAAGAATAGCTACTCATGCTCATTTTTGGTTTCCATTTGCATGGTATATCTTTTTCTATCCCTTCACTTTTAGTCTGTGTGTGTCTCTACAGGTGAGGTGGGTCTCTTGAAGACAGTGCATACTTGGGTCTCGCTTTTTAATCCAATCAGTCAGTCTGTGTCTTTTGAATGGGGAGTTTAGTCCATTCACATTTAGGGTAGTTATTGACAAGTGTTGCTTAATTCCTGTCATTTAATTGCTTCTTGTTTCAGTGATTTAAATATCTTTTGATCATTATTTTCCCTTTTATTTCTCTTCTTCAACATTATTTGGAAATTTAAGGTGGGATGATTTAGTTTCTTTCTCTCTCTTGTTGGCATTTTTGTTTTAACAGTGTTCTTGCTAGCATTTTTGTTTTAATGGTGGGTTTTGCTCTTTCTTGTGTATTTGTGATAGTGGTCACCATTATTCAGATTCCAGATGAATGACCCTCTTGAGAATTTCTTGCAGTGTTGTTTGTGTGATGGTGAACTCCCACAACTTTGTTTGTCTGGGAAATACACCATTTCTCCCTCATTTCTGAAGGACAGCCTTGCTGGGTAAAGAATTCTTGGCTGGCAATTTTTTTCTTTTAGTATTTTGAATATATCATTCCACTTTCTTCTGGCCTGTAGGGTTTCAGTTGAGAAGTCTGCTGTTAGTCTGATGGGGGTTCCCCTATAAGTGACCTGATGCTTTTCTCTTGCTACTTTTAGAATTCTCTCTTTGTCTTTGAGCTTTGCAAATTTAACTATGATGAGTCTTGGGAAGGATCTTTTTGGATTGAATCGTTTGGGGACCTTTGAACCTCCTGGATCTGAAGGTCTGTATCTCACCCTACATCTGGGAAGTTTTATGTTACTATTCCCTTGAATAGATTTTTGATACATTTTCCTTTCTCCTACCCTTCTGGAATACCCACAATTTGGATGTTAGAGCACTTGAGGTTGTCTGCTCTCTCTCTTACATTTTCCTCATTATTTTAAATTATTTTTTCCTTTTTTTTTGTCTGCCTGAGTTATTTCAAAAAGACCATCTTCAAGCTCTGAAATCCTTTCTTCTGCTTTCTCTACCCTGCTGCTCAAGCTCTCAGTTGTGTTTTTTATTTCACTGAGTGAATCTTTCATTTCTAGAAGTTCTGCTACACTCTTTTTAAAGGTATTAATCTCTTTGTAGATTTCTTCCTTCATATTCTGGATACTTTTTTCTTGTTTCATTGTGTTCTCTAATTGAGTCTTCCTTTATTTCTTCATATTTTCTTAAGATCATTGCTAAGAATTTCTTTTCAGACTTTTCAAGGATTCCCTGTTCCATGGAGTCTGATATTGGAGCATTACTGTATTCTTTCAGTGGTGTGATTTATTCTTGTTTATTTGTAGTTCTAGTATTTTTTCATTGACGTTTGGTCATTTGGTAAAAGGTTGGCTTCTTTTATTACACTGAGGTTGGTTGTGGAGCTGCTACTGTGGTGGTGAATTGTCTTTGCTTGACAGTAGGTGTGGTGGTGATTATGTTAAAATACCTTGGGTCCTGTTCCAGAATCTGTGGTCATAGAATGAGCCCCTCAGTGGGTTGAGCCACAGGGGCTGGCGCTCCCCTCTTTTCTCAAGGGGAGGTGAGGGGTTGCCACTGCCACGAGGGTTTGCTGGGCTCACCTTGGCAGGTCTGATGGCAGGGCAAATGATTCCCTCTTAATACAGATGTAACAATTCCAATGATTGCCTGGATAGCATTCAGTTGGATCATGAAATTTTCATCTCTTTATTCACTCATACATTGTTCCCATAAGCATATGCACTCTTGGCCTTTTGCTTGGCACTGGGAATACAAGGGTGAATCAACATCATATTAAATGATAGTATTCTTTTTTTTTTCTAAGATGACCGGTAAGGGGATCTCAACCCTTGACTTGGTGTTGTCAGCACCATGCTCAGCCAGTGAGCAGACCGGCCATCCCTATATGGGATCCGAACCCACGGCCTTGGTGTTATCAGCACCGCACTCTCCCAAGTGAGCCACGGGCCGGCCCCTAAATGATAGTATTCTTATCTTTTCATTCAGGCTTTCCTTGAAAATGACTTCAGAAAAAACTTCCATTAAGAATATGTTTATTAATAACTGTTTTGATTACCACAATTTTTCTTGAGTATGATGCCAAGTACATAGTAGGTGCTCACTAACTATTTGTTGAATGAGCAAACAGATGACACAATTAAGATAGAATAATACAAGGGCCGGCCCGGTGGCGCACTGCTACAGTGTGCTGCTTGGGAAGCGCGGCGGCGCTCCCGCTGAGGGTTCGGATCCCACATACAGACCGGTTCCCGCTCACTGGCTGAGCGAGGCGTGGGAGCAACACCGAGGGTTGCGATCCCGTTGCCGGTCCCGGTCCGGTACAGGCACGACACTGAGGGTTGCGGTCCGTTGCCGGACATGAAAAAAAGACAAAAAAAAAAAAAGATAGAATAATACTTATCTCTGGTTACAATATATATGCTAATTTTGTATGACCTCTAAAATCTCACTGTCTATGCTACAAATGAATATAATTGATTTTCTGAAATATGCTTATGGTGTTCATGTACCACTTGCTCATAGTCCTGCTAATTGGCTCAGGACTAGTTGTGACCTGCAGACTGAAGTCTAAGAGAATTCAAGACATTAGACAACTAGGAAAAGTTTTATCAAGGCAAGTGAGAGCTGCTATGCCCAGTGATTGCATGCATATATAGAGAGAGTAAATCACTCTGATGCAAACATGGTGTTCACATCATAAATGGCTAGCATGAGTTTCTTCTCTGGCCAGTCACAGGGCTGCAGGCTGAAGCCTTGGGTTAGCTTGTTCCTCATATTTGACGTCAAGGAGACCTTCCGGGTGAGCTTTTGCATGAAACCCCAAACACAGATGGTCAAATTTGCAGTTTGGCCAGGTTTTGTGACTGGTTGTACATTAAATGTTTTAAAAATCTAGGTTTAATTTCAAAACTTACAAATCTTTTAAATGTCTGTATTTTCTCTATTTATAGTTGATTTTAATATCTTTTTTTTTCTGATTCTTAATGCTTCTCATCTGTTTATCCTTAAAATACTCTCACTTTCTTGTTTTACCCCTTACTTAAACCAGTTTATTGATTAATCTTTTTGAATTCTGATTTAGTTAGTCTGAGGTGGGGCCTAAGAATTTATATTTCTAGCCAACTTCCAAGTAATGCTGATGCTCCTGGTCTGGAGACCACACTTAGAGAATCACTTACTCTCAACCTTGTATGCACAATAGAATCACCCAGGCAAATTTTTAAAAGTACTAATGCCTGAAAAACCACATTCATTCCCTCAACCAATTAAAACAGAGTCTGGGGTGTGGAGCCCCATGTGATTCTAATGTTTAGCCAAGATTAAGACCTCTTGTAATTCAGCAAAGTACATAATTGTAAGATCTTCATCTGTCTCATATCAATAATTCAGGCAAAAATGGTTTTTAAAAAGTTAAAATCTCATACTGTTTTCTCTATCTAGTTTCAGGCAGGCTAAGCCAGCTTGGATTACAGTTAGTCTCTTTGGGTACCTTCTGAGAGCCACAGGAATTAGTCAACCAAATGAATTATCCTGACATTTTGCTGCCAAGTGCCCCAAAGCTCCAGCCTTATGTCCTAACAGCTTGAGTTCCAAAAGGCAATAGGTGATGATTTCACCAATTGCTTTGTTACCATGTAACAAAGATGGCCAGCTTCCCAGCTGTGAATTGGGTTTCCTGTTCCCCAAACCACCTCTACTTACACAGTTTCATATTTTTTTATTTGCAATATTTTTTATTCAAAATTTTTTAACATTTACTTGTACATAGTGTGTTGTTTCAATACATGCATATACTGTACTATAATTCACTTAGCGTAGACAGCATAGTTTTGTACCGATCAGTCCACCACTTTTTCATATTTTAAAGTTTATTTGCAATGTTCCACTATGGGAGCAAATTTCTGTGTTACTTAAGATTCTGGTTTTAAGTTACAAAAACCCAACTTTCAGCAAGTTAAGCCTAAGAGGGAAAATTATTACAAGGATAAAAGGGTGTGTCACCTAATTAGCAGCTACTGCTTTTTTTTCTTTTTAGTTGTTAGCTACTGCTTATTTCATAATCAAAATTAAAACCACTTAAGAAACAAGGGCACTGATTGGAACTGTAAAACAGTTAAAAAATAACTATCAAGCAGTTTCGAGTCAGGCTTGAACAATATTTTATATATATATATATATATATATA